GAAGCGTTGAGGCTGACAGAGTGGTGGGAAATCTACACAGAAACTCTAATGTTGATCTCCAGGGAAAACTATAGCAACTGGACAGGTCTGACAACCTGTCCAATGGTTACTTCACCTGAGAACGTCTGACTTCAGGCATCTGCAAGCAACCAGACATGAGATTCCATCTCTATGACCAACAGTAAGCAAAGACTCACATTAAAAATCATGGCTCTACCCATAAAAAATATGTCATTATGAAGCAGTCCCACGGGCTTAAGATAAATCTTCCTTTTAGCTGCTATTCAGTGTATGCAAAATTAAAAATTGCATGACTTCACTTGAAGCTGCATGATTTCAAAGTCGCAAACCAATACGACTTTGGGTGCGACTTGCAGACATCTATGCAAATTCATGCACAGATGCAAATGCAAGTCACACCCAAAATTAGCAAAAGTAGTGCAGGAACTACTTTTCAAGTCGAAGTCGGAGTCACACTGATTAGAACGGTTCTATTGCCGATCATTGGATGCTATTTGTCATGCAATTTGGATAGTCAAATCAGGCTTAGGGAAAACATGATTTACTTTCATTTAAGTTAAAAGGTTTATTAACAAATATTTGGCTTAATATCTATTTTTTGTTTATATCAAGTCTTTGTTTCACAAACACACTATTAATACATGGTGCATCTGCCACATAGGAATCACATAGCTTTATTGGGTTTTCTAAACGATTAAGACTGTATGCATTCAGGATCTTTCTCTGATTAAAATTTAATATGGAGCCATCTAAAGTGCATAGTGGGAATGTATCTCTGCTTAGAAAACCTGTGTGTGTGTGTAAATAAATATTTTACATATTATACACATACACACTGCACATTATTAGGCGAGTATTTTGGCCAAATCATCATTTTTGGGCAGCACAGTGGCTAAATGGTTAGCACTTTCGCCTGGCAGCACTAGGGTCATTGGTTCGAATCCCAGCCACGGCACCACCTGCCTGGAGTTTGCATGTTCTCCCTGTGCGGGTTTCCTCCAGGTACTCCGGTTTTCCTCCCACACTCCAAAGACATGCTGGTAGGTTAATAGGCTCCTGTCTAAATTGTCCCTAGTATGTGTATGTATGAATGTGACTTAGGTACCTTAGATTGTACACCCCTTGAGGGTTAGGGACTGATGTGAATGTACAATATATATGTAAAGTGCTGTGTAAATTGATGGAGCTATATAAGTACCTGAAATAAATAAGTGCCTGAAATAAATACATTTTTAGGCATGCTGTCCAGCTCCATGCTGTATAAACGTGTATGCTTATTGGATCTAAACATACCAGGTAATGTGTATTTGTGTAATGAGAGAGGGTGTGGCCTAAGAAGATCAACACTCTTTATCAACGTGTACATAATTATTATTAGGCAGCTTCTTTTTCTCAGGCATAATAGGCCAAAATAAGAGACTTTACTGACTTGGTAAAAAATCTTTCAGAGGGATGCATTACTCTTGAAATTGGGGTGATCACAGAACCATCAAACATTTTGTTGCAAATAGTCAGCAGGGTAACAAAAAACGTGTTGAGGGAAAAAAAAAAGCAAATTAACTACCAAAGATTTGAGAAGAATCAAAACGTGAAGCTACAAGGAACCCATTATCCTCCAGTGCTGTCATATTCCAGAACTGCAACCTACCTGGAGTGCCCAGAAGTAAAAGGTGTTCAGTGCTCAGAGACATGGCCAAGGTAAGGAAAGCTGAAACCTGACCACCACTGAACAAGACACGCAAGTCGAAACGTCAAGACCGGGACAAGAAAAATCTGAAGACAAATTTTTCAAAGGTTTTATAGACTGATGAGATGAAAACGACTCTTGACAGACCAGATGGATGGGGCCGTGGCTGGATCAGTAATGGGCACAGAGCTCCACTCTGACTCAGACAACAGCAAGGTAAAGGTGGGGTACTGGTATGGGCTGGTATAATTAAAGATGAGCTAGTTGGACCATTTTCGGGTTGAAGATAGACTCAAAATCAACTCCCAAACCTACTGCCAGATTTTTGAAGACACTTTCTTCAAGCAGTGGCACAGGAAAGTCTGCATTGTTCAAGAAGACCATGATATTTAAGCAGGACAATGCTCCATTGCATGCATCGAAGTACTCTAATACATGGCTAGCCAGTAAAGGTCTTAAAGATGAAAGAATACTGACATGGCCCCCTTCCTCACCTGACCTAAACCCTATTGAGAACTTGTGGGCCCTTCTTAAATGGGAGATTTACGGTGAAGGAAAACCATACACCTCTCTGAACATGTAAAGAGTTTATCTCTGAGGAAGGGGGTTCGTCTCCCGAAACGCATCAGCTTATCCCTATCAAGGGCACAGCATTATTGACTGTCTTTGTGGACTACATTATTTGCTTTAATTTTCTTTGGTTTGTGAGTATACATCTATTTGTCTACACAAAAAAATACGTGGTGTACCATGGTAATGCACGATGAGAGTGCGCCCTTGTCTGCTTTTGCTCACCAGTGTCCAGATTCCCCGATCTTTGAAGGGCACCACCTCTTCGCTTGGCATTCTGAATGGTCTTTGGTCTGCATGAGGATTTGAGCGCTGGTTTCATTTGTTTGTCTTTGTTCAATAACAAAAGTAATCCTCAAAAATTAGTATCTTTAAATCTTCATCCAGATAATAAGTCTTCGGAAGCTCTATATTTAGTTCACAAGTAGAAAGCCCAAATATACTTCCTCTGGAATGTTTTAATTCATCTTAATGCAAATGTCAGGCAGATCCCCAATACCAGATACTGGTCAAAAAATCTCAGCAAAAGGTACTTTTTAGGGAGTGACACTTAGGAAGAAATTTTGCCTGCAACCTGATTCTCACCCTCACCACAGACCACAATAAGTGATGTAAATCCTGAAAAACATAAAATAGTCTGTGGTGTAAATGTTTAAAACAGTATGTCTTGGGAGGCTTCTTCATCAAGGTGGTCAAGTGAAGAAAGACTTTTACAAACATTAACTTCAGAAGCAATGTCCTCAATTCCACAGTTTTGGAGCATGCAATGCAGCAGAGAAAGCTCCAATCCAAACCAGTATTATTCAGTACTGCTGCAGAAGCAATATAAGCCATATATGACAGATCACAAGCATCTTTGGAAGTGCATCCTTGTACATTTCTTCATGTAAACTAGGGGGTGAAGGCCTTGCTGGCTTGCTCATGAGCATAAGCTAAAGTACAGGAAGATCAGGTACTAAGCGGTCTTGGTGACAGGCAAAAATTTTGATCCAAATAAAGTCCACTGCAGGTATGAGACAGGTCGAGATAGGAACTGGGTTGGTCAGGAGAAGTATGAATAACAGGAATATGTGCAGGGGGTCAGACGAACAAATAGGTGGGTGGGGATTTTACAGCTTACAGATGCAAAGTGAACGCTCACTGAAAAGGAAGCAAAAGGAGAGAAAGAAGTTGGGATGGTAAAACTGAAGGGGACCCTGACTCTATCAGAGTGGTGGTGACTCTCTGACGTTAGTGTAGGTACTTCTTTGTCAGGCTGCACTCTTGGTCCGATAAGAAGAAAAAAAAGCAACCGAATGCCTGAACTCCTGCGCTGGACAGTGGACTCCATAACGTCTGTATACCCATATGGAGTATAGAAGGATTGCAAGCTATGCTGCCCTCAACGGACAAGGGAAATCCAAACAGAACTGTATATGAAGAAAATGAGTGTAAGTGCATTGCCTTTAAAAACAAGATTTATTGATAAAAAGTAAAGTACTCACAAAGGAATAAAATTAAATGAAGGGTATGTCACAAGAAATGCAGCGTGGTCCAATCACCCTGAAGGATGTCTGGTGGGGGACTGTAGACCTCTAGGTGGCTGTTGGCTGACGCGTTTCAAGGCTGTGCCTCTTCCTCAGAGCCAATGACTGTGAGTATTTTACTTTTTATCACTAAATCTCGTTTTTAAAAGGTAATGCACTAGGCCCGTGCACCCTCTTTTTGTTTCTTCATATGCACTCTTGGTCCACACATATTGTTACATTTTTGGACAAACTGCAATTATTTCACCTTTGGTTGATTCAGGGTCTGCTTTAGTTTTACATATGGCTTTGATCTATTCTTTTGCCAGGAATGAAGTGAGTGTTAGCTGTGCTCTTGCAAGACGTGACCTGACCCTTAACAGGATTTGCTTGTACCTGTGATATGTTCTGACAAAGTCACCACTTTGCAAGTACAATGTTATTAATTTGTTTATTATAATGTTACTTATCTGCGCAATCCAGTGTAATTTCTTTAATGGCCTTCCTGTCCTAAAGTGACAACACTTCTCCATAAATACAAAAAGAATGTTAGTGGAAGGATCATCAGGTGAAAATAAAGGGGGGAAAAAGGACTAATAAGCTGCAATATATTATATTTTTTGTTCTCAGGTTACACAAATACTTGCAATAGAGTAATTATGACTTAGTGCCCATCTTACAAGCCTGCAAAGAATCCATATGCAAAGAATGACTAACAAGAATACAGTATATAAAAGGACTCCTATTATGCCACTGCTGAACACTCCTTTGCAAATGCTAGTTCCTTGGCAGTTATACCGATGTTGCCTGATCTATTGGCCCGAAACAGATATAGCGATAAGGAATTCAAACACTTGTCTGACACATTTACAGCACATGCTTGTTCCAGATCTGTGACTCAAAAGTACTTATGTAAGACATTGCAGAAATCTAGTTTTTCCAAAAGAGGACCACTAATAGCACCCCCAAACAATTATCTAATGAAGGAATAACTTTAAGGGGCTTATCTGCAATAATTTAAAACCTCTATAGTTGGTTAACAAAAGGTACAAATGTCTGACACACAGAACGCTGCTAGAGAGAGAATTAACATCTATCTTGAGCAGCCAGGCACAAAATGTTAAATTTAAAAAAATTTGACTTGCTTTACAGCAGCGACAGAACATGTTCTGAAATTACAGCATCAGTTCCCTTTAATGTGAATAGAATGAACCAACCTTAGATGAGACAATCCTGTTATCGCAGAATTTTGACGCAATGTAAGAATCGGTTTCTGAAGCTGGCCTTTGTCCCACATACACTGTGCGCGTTCCAACACGGTTCTCTTCTCCAGGGCACTGCCAAGACACAAGAGAAATCATAACTGAAGTTAATGGTTCATTTCCCAAAGTTAAATTAAACAACACTTCAATGATATTACATTCATCGCCAGAAGATCAATCTGCAGTTTCCCCTTCTGCTCAAGACTGCATTCTTGATTTCACTGGATGCAGGGACTCTGGTGCTTTTCTACAGAGACATAGTTCACAATGTCGTTTTAACGTGACACAATTATAGACAAACTGTCTTGTGGAATTACTGGACACAATCCATTTAGGAAATGACAGTTTTTACATGTTTATCTCATCCTCTTATTTTAGCAAGGGCAGTTTTAATCGGAAAAAAAACACTTTTTTGGATGATATGAAAGATCTACAGGAAATTGCAAAAACAAACACACTTAACTTAGCTGTGTTTAGCACCTGTGACAGAATACAAACAACCTATCCTCACATTTTTTGTTCCATAAAAGTTGTTGAAGATTTATCATACAAATAGGCAATGAAAGGGGTTACAGATTGGTAGACTAACCAGGTAGAATATTTTACATGCTAGTCTCATATTGAAAATTAAGAGGTTACTAAAGTTACGAAAATTCTTGTAAAACAGAATACAACTTCGGAAGTGATGTAATGCATTGTACTATAATGTATTCTTTCATTTCTGAACATGGGTGCTCATGGTCACTCAACTCTTTAAAGGACAAATAGTGTACTGATTAAATGAAAATCATTCAGTTATTGCAAATTATTTTGTGCACACTAAAGTCAAGTCTCCTGATTTGCATGCTGCTTTAAGTCAGCGACCCCAAAAAGTACTGAAACAGCATCACAGCCAAGGAACAAGTAATTTGAAAAAAGGTGTTCTCACTGGAAGCCCCCATTTTTTTTTTTAACCAGTACAGGTGTCCCTTAAGTTTAAGGATCTGGGTTAAGGTTTATGGGGTCTTCTCAAATGATGGGTTAAAACTGAACTTCAGGAAAGCAACTGAACACACAGTTTATAAGCAAAGTTAAACTGTACCTGAGAACCACAAGTGAAAACTATGTAACAAATTTTTATTATTCAAAGCAAACATGTCTCTATGCTTTATTTTGTTGAGAAATCACTTTCAAAAATACCCCCTAGCATTTCTAGAGCTGGTCATCTTAAGTAAGGGCAGATAATTCATGTAGCATTTACTTCCTGGAATCCATCCTTCCTTATTTCAGGCAATTAGGAAGGAGAGAGTACTTAGTCAAGGAAAGCCCCTGCTCCAGATTTACTAAAAAAAGCCAATGAAGACTAATGGGGGATTTATACATCATTTTGGCCTAGGCCAAAAACGAGGAAGCAGCTGAAGAAATGTTTTAAAAAAGTTAGCACAGAAAAAAGTAATATTCCATATATATTCATATAGAATTACTAATGCCTTACCATGTGCTAATGCATAATAATTAAAAATTGTTAAAGTGGTTGTAAACCATCACATACTGTATACCCAGCAAAGTGACTGGCCGCAGGTGATACCCAGAGATGAAACAAATCCTCCTACATACATTGTACCTGTTTATCTGCAGCCTTCTCTACATTAATTCAAAGTGCAGAATTAATAAAGATTATCTGAGAGTTCAGAAAAATGGGGGCGGAGAGCTGAATGAAGGGAAGAGAGACACCCCTCCACACAGCCCACAGAAACGGAGCTTAGAGGCTGTCAATCTGCTGGAGCTCCCACCCCTGTCACCATTTTTCTTTTGGTGTCAGGAAAACATGTTAGAAGGGACTCATGCTGATAGCAAAGTAGCAAAGCAGCAGACAGAAATGACACTTCATGCTCTTAAAGTGCTTCTAAAGGCTCAAGGTTTTTTACCGTCATATGTTCTATGCATGAAGGTAAAAAATGAAACAAACTGATTCTGTGCTATTCAATAAATGCAAAGTAAACCAACCTGCACAGTATATATAATAAGGCAAAACAGTAATATAAGTGACCAAATATGGCGATAAAAAAAAATAAGAAGTGAGCAAAAATAATTGTAAATAGATAACATGGATCACTCAATGAATACAAAGAAAAAACAAACCCCCACAGTAGTGTAAATAAAAGTGACAGTATAAAAGCAAATCACAGAGAAAATCAATAAACACATTCGTGACCAAAACGGTGATCAATAATAAGTGAGCAAATAAGTAACATGAATCATATAAATATATAGTGAACAAATAAATGTGAAAATGCAATAATAAAGTGCACAGTCCCAATGAATCTGTGTATCTTCAGCAAAAAAACGTGAAACATCCACAATGACCACTGCAAAAAAACAATCTTCCACCAGCTAGCATGCGTGCTCACCTCCAGGCTGCGACCCACAAGGGGTCATGAAACTTTAAATGCACTCAACCGATGATATCCCTGTATATCCCCTCGATACTTGTCAGGGCAATCCTCTATGGTGGAGATGTTGAGCAATCATAAGTGTGCCAGCAGTAGTGGCTCAGATGTCCCCTCACGGATATACCCAAACACTCTCCTCTCTCAATGACCCACACATGGAAAATTAAATCACAAACTTCCCATAGTGTAGTAGGCAAAAACATTTACTGAATAAAAAAGCAGAGTGACTACTCACATTAAAAAACAGGATCCACAGACCCATACAGGCATGTAAAACTGGAATAGCAGAGAGGTGTATAATACTGAGGCATGCCATGATGGTGGCTGCCGTCCGTAGCAGAAATGACGTCACCACGCTTCTGTCCTACGTGTTGCCGTCCCGAATCACTTCTTTAGAGCTCATTTTATACACTATTGGGATTATAGTTAGGTGTTTGCGGCCACTGAGTTTTTTAGGGCTTTTGGCAGTGCAGGAGGATCTCTTTATTGATGAAGGTAAAAAAAAAAACCTGTGTGCAAAATCAAAGTCACACCCCACAAATTTATTGTAGGTCAGTGGGAGATCACAATTAAAAGAGCTACCGTTTCCTTATACTAAGGTCATGCTGTCTGCCCAAGATTATGCTGCAAAATGTTAATTTAAAAGAAGTACAAGAATGTTTTTTTATTTAAAAATCCTAGGTGGATGCAGCAATCAGTCTGATGCTGTATCTGTCCCCCGCTGAGGGGGAGGGATCAGCTGGCTCAGGTTCTCAGCAGAGAGACTGAGCCAGGTGCCACTCCAGATTCGGGGGTGGATCCCGACTTTAGCATTAAGATCTTTCCCCAGCCTGGACTCGTTGAATGTCATCAGCTAAAACCGAGTCACAGGAGAGCAGAATGAACTGCACTCCTGTGATCCACAGAAGTACAGTCAAAAGAGCTTTGGCTGTACTCTTCCTTTAAAGTGAAATTCCTGCTTAACCCAAACTATTCTTAAAGAATATGTTAGCCTAACATATTATATTCCTGTAATGTGCCTGTTGTACCATCAGGGCCATATCTAGCCTGTCTGAGCTGGGGATGCAGTAAAAAATGTCAGGGGGCAGAGGATGGGAGGTCAGCAAAGCAGTGTACAGGCGGAAAGCAGGACAAATGATCATAGGTTCGCAGGGGAGTGTACAGGAATCAGTAAGACACTGTACTGGGGGGCAGAAGGGCAGTGACCAGGAGTCAGCATGGCGGAGGACAGAGGTCATCAGGACAGTGGACAGAGGTCAGCAGGTTGGTATACAGGGATCAGCAGAAAGGGGGACAGGGGTCACACTTGCAGGACAGAGGACAAGGGTCACCACTGGCAGGGCATTCAAAAGGGCTCTCTTTCTCCCATACCTGCACTGTACACAGACTGAGTGAGCACAGGCAGCAAGAGCTCCTCCTCCCCACCCACCACGTAGCTGAAATGTAATTTTCTTACACATGGCTATAATCTGCTCAGTGTGTAGCTGGCTACTGTGTTACAGTTCTGACCTGTGAAATATCCTGATCTGAATGGCAGCACAGCTGCAGTAGCCAGCTACACACCAAGCAGATTGTAGGGGTGTGTAAGGGAATTTGATTTCAGCTACCTGATGTGTAGGGAGGAGGAGCTTTTGCTGTCTGTGCTCAGGCAGTGTACAGTGCAGGGATGGGAGACTGCCTGGCACAGCTGAAAATTCAAAGGGCTCAGGCCAGCAACCACCCAGATCCAACCATGTGCATCATGTACTTGTGTTCAAATGTATCCTGATTTCTTTGTACTGCTTCCTTTGTAGAAATTACCTGGTGATCCTGCCAGTCCTTTTACTTTTGTATTTCAATATGACCATGCTAGGCATGAGAGCACATCCATCATTGTGAGATCAGTTTTCTGTCTGGAATTCCACTTTAACTTTTAGCAAAAATGTTGCTATCCATCAGAAGTCTACACTGCCCAGTTTGCCTGGGACCAGTGCAGTGTTTCTTTTCCCTGGTGCCACCAGAGGTTCTTTTTAAATCCTACACTATGCCAGGCCATATCAAATAATTGTGTACCCTAGTGGTATTAACCTCAAAACCCAAAATGTAACACATTGCAGCTTACCAGTCTTTAGATGTTGTGGCTGAAAGTTTTCTATTTTTAGGTTTTTCTCCCTCTGTTTTCACCTGTGATATCGGTTTCCATTTCCATGCTCAATAGCTTGTCCCAGGTAAGTACTCAAACTACTGAAGCCATATTTTAATAAGAGGTAAGCAAAGACTAAAGACCTAGAGATTTATCTCAACAAAAGTTTTCTTAAATGGCTACAGCAAGAGTGTGGCCTTAGAAACTCTGGAGGATGGTGGGTGATTTAACCTGTCAGTATCCATCTAAAACAAAAACAACAGTTTAGGGTAGCCTAACACTAACAGATAATGAAAATACTGAGCATAGATGCAACAACATCTAGCTCCACTGGGAATAGTGGTAGTTTAACTGACAGGGATGTCACCAATGTGTGTGTTAGACTCATGCAAAATAAATGAGAAAATACTTAAAGGTATTAGCTCTGTTCAGTGAGCACATCACCGGTGTATGATATGGTGACTGTGACAGTAGGTTTTTGTTGATGGCTTGAAAGATTCTCTCCGTGGCTCCTTTGGCTTAAGTACATGATGGAAA